ATATATTTATATATGTACATATGTACCTTATATAAATTTTAATTCTGCGTATGTATTTTGAAGAACGCAAAAACCCGAAGTATATGCCAAAATAAGAATGATGAAATGGTGTTGTTCCCGATTATTTTTATCGCCGGTATATATTTGTAATATAAGTTGATGGATATTAAATATATCTATGTACGTATGTTTGAGTTTTTGTTGATTTATGCTTTAATCTGCCAACGCTTAATTATGTTACGCAATCCTGCTTATTGCTTCAGTAAGCAAGAGAGGCAAATAAAGTTGAGGTAAGTATAAACTGGAATGTTTATACCCATATGTATGTATACATATCTTTCCCTTTTTTTCCAAGAAAATCTTAGCTAGATTTATGTATATTTTTACACAACCGTTTTGTAAGTCTTCAAACCATTGCCAATATGGGCTTCAAACATATTCATATACATATACTATGATAATATACTACTAGGAATCGATACGACTCACTTGTATTGCAGTTCTGGGGGGCGGAGGGGTCTCCATACAGGTTTTGCCTTTATCTGATAAGCTCTGCTCCTCGTGTCTCCGCAGGTTGGGTTAGGTGAATATGTTGGTTTATTAAATTTTTTTTTTAATGTTGTTTTTTTTTATTAGTAATGTTATTGTTGACTTATTGTGTCACAGCACTTTTTCGAACAAAATTGTAATTTTGCTTGTCACTGTATATATATACATAGATGCTTCTGTGTTATTGTCCGTTACTGTAAATATATATATATGTATGTATATCCATGTAACACTTCTTGTTTTACCGCACGCCAAGAATTTCTGCTATTCACTTTTTAACCGTTTTGATTTTAATTTTTCGCCACACTGCCGTTCTTTTTATCTCGAAGGACCATATTTCTGCGAGTAATATTATAAACACATGTATTTATTTTTACAAGTAAATCGTATATTCTTACAGGTGAACCGTTTATTGTTACAAATGAATTGAATATGTTTACAAATGCGTTGTATAGGTTTACAAATGAATTGAATATGTTTCAAAATGAATTATATATGTTTTTTAAAAATTAATTGTATATTTTACATTTTATGATAGTTTAGATGATAGATAATGTATCAACCCAGCGGTAGAAATGGGACGTTCGGATGGTCAATCACTTTCAGGTTATAGCACTGAATAAAACTTCTTTGATGTAATTAGCACACTACGCCAATTTCCTTTTAGGTTATAGCGATGCTAAAAGGTTAAACGTTACCAAACCAAAGTTAAATKTATATAAACCGGATAGAAGCCAAATAACAAACGAATGATCTCTATATAAAGTGACCGGAGGGTGCAAAAGATGCAAAGTTAAAAAGTTTTAAATAGACGGTGCGGTGCGCGTGTGTAGCGGCGAACGTGACTTCTAGAACTGGTAGAACAAAAAAACGGCACAGCATCACCTTCTCGTTTGTATAAAATGAAAAATGGAACAAAAACAGTTTGGTGTGGAGATGATCAGTGATGCCCTGTTTTTCTAATTAACATGTTAATGTGGAGAGTGTTGTATTCACTGATCAGTGATGCCTTTTAGTTAAATTAGTTCGGGCGACTGGAGTTCATTTCAGCACAATCCTATATTTGGCATTAGGTGTGTATAAGTTATATATGGTATATGTATATATAAAATTGCTTGGATTCCGATCTCTGGTTGACGTTTTACACCTCAAGGCTGAGAACGTATAATATAGACAGAGAACGTCTATCATAGAGAAGGTTCACGTTTCAAATATCGTAACTTTTCGAAGAGGTACTCGGCAGAGATGAGCCAGTTTCACCACAGACAAATTATAAGCGTGTTTCACCACGAAARTAGCAGAATTGAGCATTTTCAGCGTAAAATGAGAAAAATAGTGCTAATTCCAATGTAAASAAATTTACGCCCAGAAATTCGTTTATTTTCTATGCGCAACCGACTCGGCACTTCATTTATATACATTTGATCCGTATATATTTGGCATCAAAGCATATACTTGTATATATGTATATAGGTAGGTGTATGTGTATACTAAAATTTATCTACATATGTATTTCATGATGATTCCATAAACTCATTAAAAATATATAATAGAGTAAAGTATTATTACCCAAATAATTGATATACATAAGTTAACGTAATTAATTTTAAATTTATACATTTACCTTAAAAGTTTTGATAAAAGATCTAGCGGTCGCACATGTGCTTATATACATATAACTATGTGTGCATGTAAAAAATATCACAGACCATACGCATAATGTTTGTAAATTTGTCTACATGCAACATATGTATGTAAATATGTACACTCAATGCTTCATGAGAAATCTCCGTTCACACGGACAGCCAATGGCGAAGCTCACTTTTCGTCAAAGAGTCAATATGGCGACAATGCGTCACAACATTGTATTGATTCGCCAACAAACCAACGTATATATGTATGTTTGTGTGTGAAGTTGTATACATATCGACGCAGATTTTTGCAAGCCGCCTAAAAGTATTTTTTACATTCCTTGACAGACACAGTCAATCCCGGTTATGTGCAACAATCTAAGATACATATTTTTGTTGTTTGTTAAAAATAGGAATATAATATGGCACATAGGCGAGTGCGGATACTTAAGCGAGTSGTACTTAAAACAATAATTTCTATGTATTTCAACAAACAAACCGTGAGATGCAGCAAGAGGCTGTTAAGAGTGTTTAGGGAAGGATTTGATTTTCATTTAAGCGGAGTACTACTTAAAAGGGATTCACTGTACACATAAATTAGAGGAAGAATATTGAATATTTTCTTTGGCACATTTCTAGACTGGAAAATCGACAAATAATCTACGTTGACAATTTTATTCTCATATATTTGAATACTTATATTTGCGGGGTTGTCACTTTTTCCTTCTCTTACAAATATCAGAAATTGTTCAATTTATGACTTTTAGCTTTTGCCATCGTCGCGAAAAGACCCTTGTAGGCAAAGGCATGTTCGGGGTGATGTCATGGTATTTGTTTTTATGAATGAAACAAGTTTGCCTGTTGAAAGTCGCTTGCGCTCATGAATGAAAATATTATTGTCGTGTACTTTTCTACAATTTGGGCATCGACAATTTATCTGCCATATTGACTTGTGACRCTGCTAATGCTATTTGGGACGTTTGTTGTTTTTGTAGAACAATATTTGTAAATTTTGCGGGTGACATATCTACATGTGAGCGCATTTAAGTATGTATGTTGTGTATGGATTATTTGTGTGGGAATGTCATACGCACATATTTACATGTGTACGCATATAAGTATGTAAGATGCTAGTTCAAACGATTGTTGTTTTTGTAAAGCAATGTTTGTAGTTTTTGCGGGTGACAAATGTATCTATGTACATATGAAAGCATATCTAATGTAATTGTGTATGTATTATTTGTAAGCCAATGTCATGCGAGCATATTTATGTACATATGAGCAGCGCGCACATGATTTGAATTCGCGAAAGCGAACATAAACATATATGGTCATGAAACATGTGATACATAGTTAAGTTTTGAATGATAAAATGTACGATTAATGTACATTTATCACTATTGTAATATACTTAATTTGTTTTAATAATATTATGATAGTTTTTTATAAACATATGGAACTACGAATATTGCTTTGAAAAGTAATTTAATTCAAATATATTCAATTGCATATGTATTCATTAATATGCATAAAAAGAATTCATACGAATACACATGTTTGCATATAAACGTATAAAAATTTAAGCAAAAGAGCGAACATAAGTCTGTTAGAGCGATATATAGTTTTGAGCATTATTTTTATTTCACGCTCAGATCTGTTCAAACGAAAATGTTAAAATTTCTCCTGCCGAGCTGGCAGTGGTGAAACTGGCTCATCTCGACCGAGTTAGCCAAAAATATTTTTACGATCTCCGSGCCGTGAACCTTCTCTATGATAGACGTTCTCTGATATAGAGAAGGTTCAGGCAGAGAACTTAAAACATAGATAAGGTCCAAATTGAATTCTGTATGAAGTGCGATTTGGCGGCTAACAGAGCCGATAGAATCTGGATAAGGAATTCGCCGTAAAATGGCTGAGAATAAATAAAGAAAAATTTTTTAGAAAAATATACAAAATATACAAAGTCACTCAGAGAATGGAAAAAAGCATTCTCTGAGTGACATATGCATGGTTATATTGAATTATATGAACCATTGTCACATATGCGTGATTATTTCGTATCAAATGAACCATTTTTTTTTTTGTTTTTAAATGGTAAAAATTTTAATTTTTTTTATAAAATCGGGAAAAATTAGATAAAAATAATTTTAATTTTGTTTTTTGATTTTTAAACAAATTAATATTTTAAATAAATTATATTTATTTCGACTATTGCAAAGTGAAGGTGCGCCAAATTAACTTTATTTCTTCAAAGAAAATTGATGACCTTCATGAAATATGCATATTCGCATTATTTCGTTATTATTTCCATATTTGTAGCAATAGAATTTCTATGGCATACTCATGTATACATATATTATTTCTTTGGCGCATTTGTCTGTATGTTTACGAAAGCAAATGCGAGCCACATACATATGTATATACCTTCATAATAACAAGTGCCGCACGTATCTTTCSCCTCTCCGTTGTCACGGTCAAACAATGGCCGAAGCACTCGTATTGTCAAAGAGTCATCACAACRTTGTGTTGTTGGTAGAAATTTCGAGCTGTGCCGATAGAAACTAATAAACGATCGCCGATTGTTACCGCTTCCCTTGCCGCAGTAACAACTTCGCCAACAAACTAGCGTAAATATGGATACATACATATGTATAAGCTTGCATACATATCGACGCTGATTTTTGCGAGCCACAGAAAAATATTTTAGAATTGACAAATATTGTAAATCGACAACAGCTATGTTGCCACTTTTCTCACTTAGAACAAACACCAGAAAGATGTTCAATTTGTGACTTTTAGCTTTTGCCATCGTCCCAAAAAGACCCTTGTTGGCAAAGGCATGCTCGGGGAGATGTTACGGCGTCTGTTTTTATGAAATCGTTTTTTTGTAAAATTTACTACATTTGGGCTTCGCCAATTTGGCTACCATATCGCCTTGTGATGCTTCGGCTATTTAGACAATTGTTGTTTTTTGTAGAACAACGCTTAAATTTTTTGTTGGCGACATATTCACATGTGTACGAATATGTATGTTTGTATGCTTGTGCATTATTTGTTCGGCAATGTATACAATGTGTACATATAAGTATAAATGAATGTATGTATATGAACATGTAGATCAATGCGCGCACATGTAATACATTGATAAGTGATAAAATCATTATTAGAATTTCATACATAAATTTATATGAGCAGATAATAAGATTATGATATGAGCAAATTCAGAGATATAAGATTAATATGATCGAAGATGTASATACATACATATGTATATGTACATATTGTTGTGATAAATTTAATTTCTCTTAGTTAGAGACACAATACAAAAATATTTATTAGTATAGAATATTACGTAAAAATCAAATAAAATTATTAAATATGTAATTCCAAATTGACTATAAATATTACTATGCATGCATTCATACAAAATTATACTCATATCAAAATTATATTTACATGTCAATATTGAATTGCCGACGGCAAAACGCAAAAGCATACATTGCGAAAGCAAAAATTGAAGCATGGAAATATCACAATGCTGTTGTTGGGATTATCATAAGGAGCATGCATACATATATTTATGTCTCTTCATAATCTTGCGTATGTGAGACAAGAACATAATGTGTTTTGTACACATTTTTCGCTGTCAAAAATGAAACAAAATATAAACAAGCAAAACAAAATTCTTCGTTGGGAGTTTTCTATTAGTGGATTTCACCACAAAAATATTATTAGCGGATTTCACCAACATTTAATATGAGGAGGTCGAAAATAGCAGAAT